AGCCCTTGGCTGTCAGGATTCCCTGGGCGTCAGGCAGCCACTGAGCACTACACAGGAGCCTCGCAGGAGCGGGGGTGGGGGGGTGCCTCAGGCCTCCACTGCAGGAGGAGGTGGCAGCTGTGCCCCGGGCCACAAAGCCAGAGCAGCGAGCAGGTGCAGCAGCCTGGAGAGCAGCTCCCACCTTGCCCAGGCCAGCCCAGGAAGTGACTGCCGGCTGCCTCCTCACCCCAGCCGGGACCACTGGTGCCGGGGCCACTGACCACGTCCCAGGCTGAGCTGTCTGCACTCAGCTCAGGGCTCAGACTCGGCCAGGCGGCAATGACTTGGATATAACAGCAGATGCGCAGCCTGCCCTGTACCTGGCACTCTTCTCATTGCCTTACATAACTAAATTCATTTCATTCTCTTCGGTGGTCACTGCTGTCATTCCTATTCTGTGGGTGAGGAAATGAGGTACAGAAAACTTAAATTATTTGCCTACAACTGGTAGCGGCTGGCCAGCCGGGTTATTGTACTTATTATATTTTATCTTTGCCCTCATCCTCCTGGGCCAGACACTGCGGTGGGGCATAGAGGGGGGTTGCCCTTTAGGGAAGGGGAGACGTGAGTGTGTTAAAGGCCAGGGAGCCAGAGAAATCAGACTCGGAGAGATCAGACACAGGCTTGGGTGCTTCCAAGCCAGGTTTCCTGAGGCCAGTCTGGGCCAGGTGCTGGGGGAGAGGCCAGGGCAGCACTGGCGGAAGCTCTAGGGTGGGCACTCGGTCCTCCCCTGAGGCCACTCGCTTTGCCTTTTGCAGCCCAGGTGTGGCAGGTAACCTCTGGCTGGCCCCGTGGGCAGCCCTCAGTGGTCAGGGCCAGAGGGCACAGGCTGCCCAGGCTGGGGAGTGCATGGCTTGTTGGGGACCTCAGCATTGAATCTCGGAGCAGACTCCTCCATTCAGCAGGGCAGCAGGCAGTGGGTCGGGGCCAGGCACAGGCTCGGGAGGTGGCTGGAGGCCGGCCTCCGGGCCTCAGGCCAAGTCTCAGAGCGCCCTGGGCTCACCACTTCGTCCCCTGCTGGCCCTTCCTTCTCCTCCATGCCAGTGTGGGAACAGATTAAGATCGCAGCTACCTGGGCTGGGGTTATGGCTCTGCCCCTCACAGCTATGTCGGGGACACGATGTGATCTCCCTCACTCCCTCTCCTCATCTGTGTGTGTGTGTGTGTTTGTGTGTTGATATAATCATTTGTCTGCCCAGGGCTGAAGGCGGTGAGCTACGTGTGGCTGGTGTCCTTTTACAGCGTGAAATGGGCCCCGTCACCTGTTTAGGATCCTGCCTTTGACCTCAAGGGGTGGACATTATCTCTGTCTGTGGTGCTGTGAGTGTGAAATGTGGAAATTCACGCTCGGACTGAGCGGGGCAGCAGGGGATGGTGGTTCTCCACAGTGAGGCGCTGCTGTTACCAGGCTGCAGGTACAACTGGCGACAAACTGCCTGCCCACTGGTGAGTCCCAGGAGCAGGGTCACTGGGCTGGGGGACCTTGCTGCCTTCCCTGTCCCCTAGCACACCGCCGGGAAATACAGACAGTGGACTTTTCTAGTGGTCAGCACAAAGTCTTCCCTGGCCCATGAGGTGGATCTGTCAAGCCTTGCTTCCCTCCAGGACCTCATTTCTGATTCCCCCTCTCTCTCTGACAGGAAGTTCCGGGATCATAGCACCTCCCTCCCCACCCCAGGGCCTTTGTACTTGCTATTCTCATGGCTCAAATGCCTGTCTCATCTTTTGAGCTTTGTGTGCTTCTTTCTTTTTTTTTTTATTCTTCAGGCTCAGTCGTGAGCTCTTCAGAGAAGCCTTCACCAAGCCCCTGTACAAAGTAACCGCTCAGCTGCCCGTTTACTCTTTTTCATAGCACTTAGTGACTGCAATGATATTATTTCTATGTTTATTGTCTCTGCCTGGAATGGCGCCACCGCAAAGACTGGGACTTAGTCCGGTTTGGTTCCTCAGTTTACCTCCCGATGGAGACAGCGCGCTTTCATCTTCCGTCAGTGATAAATCCTCAGTCCCCAAGGCCACACAGCCGGGTCCTCACAGCGCTCCCTTCCCTTTGTAGTTTGGCTGCCACCTGCTGGCGAGGAGCAGAATTACAGAGCCTGCTTGCAGGAGCCCTGGTCGCCTCACGTTTGCTGTTGCGGTGGGCAGGGGGCGCCATGACTGGCTTGTAGAATTTCTGCGAGAAATCGGCCCCAGTGTTACCCACTTTACCTTCGAATATTCCTGGGATGCCCCGCCGCCCCCTTTCCCATCCATAATCATGACCCCTTCTGTTCCAGGCCACCGCGTCCATTCTGGACCAGACAGCAGCTCCTCACCGGCCTTTCTGCTTCCTCTTCCTCTGCAGCCGACAGCCAGGAGTTCACAGGAAAGGAAGAATCCACCCGCCTGCCCCGGAAGGACGAGGCCCAAGCCCTCTGGCCACCCAGGAGGAGCTCCAGGAGCTCGCCTGTCGCCCCCTCTGCCCTTCCGGGCTCTTTCCTGCGGTCCTGCACAAGCCAAGGGCTCCTTCGGGTGCCTCCCACCCCCCAGGCCTGGGGCAGGGCCTGCAGTCCGCCAGCCACTGCTGCTCAGCTCAAGCCCCTGGCGTCCTGGTCAAGGTCTCTGCGGGGAGAACAGTGGCCCCGCCACAGCCCCAGTGGGGCTGGAGGAGGACGGCTGTTTGTTGCAGGTGGGAACCAACGCTTAGACCCCTGCCCCGCCCGGTCCTCAGCCGGCCTGCTGGTCTGTGTCCGCCTGGTGACACGGCAGTGTTTGCCATGTTCCCGGCACTTACCCACGTGGCCATCTCCCTGGCGGTGGAGGCCCCCGGTGGGATGGCCACTGGGTGGTTTCCAGGGAACTGTGCAGCTTCTGGGGGAAGAGGGAGGCCTGACGGGAGTGTCTGTGTGGCCCCCATGGCCCTGTCTACCTGCCGCTTGTGGACAGCAGGCAGAGGCAGGCTTCACTCAGTGCCCTGCTGCTCCTGGAGAACCAGTCCTGCAGACGACAGGCTTCTCTCTCAGCCCGGCTCAGCCTCATCCCCTGGCCGTCCCCAGTGAGCGCCCAGACAGCGACTTTGAGGTGAGGATTCTCATGCAGGAGGTTTATTGGAACCGGCCCCTGGGTCACCGACAGCGAGGGGAGGCGTCTTAGTTACTTTTCTCATCACTGAGACGAAATGCCTGACGCCCAGGGTCACAAGGGGAGAGGTTTATTTGGCTCACGGTTGTAGAGGCTCAGTCCCGTCAGCTAGCTCCATGCGGGGCGGATGGCAGAGGGGCATCGCAGCGGGGAAACAGTTCATCCACGCCAAAGCTGGGCAGGCAGAAGGCAGCAAGCAGCAAGCCACAAGTGATGAGTGACACAATAGCCCTCTGCCTGTCCTTTACATCGTATTCAGGCTCCTGGATCTTGGAGTGGGAATCACTCTCACCCAGGGTGAGGCACCCCTAATCCTACCCAGAACTGTGCCAAACCAGTCAGGGGACCAATTTAGCAATCACACAGCCTTAATCCCAGCATCTCGCACACTGTTGATCCAGCACCTCTGAAAAGCCCCACCTCTGACTGCATGAGGCTTCGGGGGACATACAGACACCGCTCTGAGCTGAGGGACACCTCAGGCAGAGTCCCAGAATCTGCCAGTCCAGACCCAGGAGCCTCTGGAGTGTAAATTTCACCTGTGGTCGTCATCGGACTTTCACATCCCCAAGTCAGGTCTGTCCTCAGCAAAGGGACATCAGAGGGGACATAAACTGCAGGCCCTTCTGTACTTTTGCACAGCAAATGTGGCCAGCAGAGGGGACCTGGCAGAGCACCCGTGCCCTGCCCCCTCCTGGCTCCCTTCCTCCAGGGGACCCCCATCCTGTTCTCTCTCCAGCTTCCTTGCAGCGTGGGGCACTGTGCCTCCCCAGGCACACAGCACTTTAAAACAGTGGCTGCTGTCCAGAGCCCTCTACTGCACCCTGTTGCTGGCTATGAACTCACCTTAGAAATCTGCATGGATGCCTTTTAAATTTTATAAGGTATTCTTGTTAGTTGTAAAGAAAAGTTCCCAAGCATACAAAGGTGCTTATGGCCACAGTGGAGATTTCCTGCTGCTCTCTTTCTGGGGCAGGTTTCTGGCCAGAGGCTTCCTCGAGGATTAAACAGCTCTGAGGTGGATGTAGAGAGCTCCTGGTGGCTGCCAGAGCACCAACCCTCACGCCTGAGGTGGTCCAGTCACTCTGGCCTTCCTCAGCCTGTGCAGAGGCCTGGTCATTCTAGCTGTTGACTTGGAGCTCACAGCACTGCACTGGCAGCTGTGTCCCAGCCCGCACGGCAGTGTCCTCTATTCCTCACTCCTGCAGCACCCTGGTAGTGCTGCCTGTCCCTAGGACTTGGGGATGGAGCCCCACTGGTGGGCTAGGGCTTCTTCGTGGGCCACCTGCAGCCCCTGTCAGGGCCCATGGGGTCTCAGCCTCAAGCCCTCTCTCTCCGTGGGGGCCTCTCCCCTGTGGGGGCCTCACAAGAGGGGCCCAGAAGTCCCACCAGCCCAACACAGCCACCTCAGCGATCTTCCCAGGGCTTGGGGTGTAAGGTCCCATCCCCTCCTCCCCAGAGAAGGCAGCTCTGAGGGTCCTGTCCAGTGGAGTCCGAGAGTCGCCATGGGCTGTGCCCCCCGCCCCCAGGTTGCTGACTGCCCTCCTCCTCGTGCCGGGCCCCATGACACTGCATACAAAGCCACCCTTTCTGGCCGCAGACCTGCTCCTCCGGCCTCCTACTCTCTAGCAGTGGGCTGTCCAGTGGTCTCGGCCCACCTCACACGGGTGGTGGGCACTGAGGATTCTTTCACCCTCCACAGGTCCCCGAGACATGGAGCTCTGCTCTAGTGGCCTCAGTGTGCCCAAGGTGCCACCCACCCATTGTCCAAACCTACAGCGCATTTAGCCGGCCTGAACCAGTTCAGTCCGGGGAGAAAGGAGGCAACTCCTGGGCAGGGAAGCTCTGCCCTAATCAGCAAAAATAACTTTAATGTTGCTGCAGGGTGAGCAGCCAGACCTTCCCGAGGGCAGCATGTCTGTTCTCTCCACAGATAGCTGGGTCCAGCAGGGCCTGGGGGACACCTCCCCTCGCCCCCAGGTCGGGAGCCTCAGGCCCTGGAGGGGAAGCAGTCCCAGGCACAGGCAGGGCCAGTGCTGTCCGGGCCATCTCTCCCTGGAGGCCCAGCAGCCTCTGGGGGTCCTGGTCCAGGAGGAGCCACAGCCACCTAAAATGTCTTCTGGGGCACGCAGCCCTCCAGCTCCAGCAGCTCCGGCCATCCCTCATACTTGTTTGTGTCAGGGTTGCTCTTTAAGAACTAGAGAGACAGACAGACAGACAGAGAGAAAAGACAATGGGGAGTCTGTCAAGGGCTCAGCACTCAAATGCCTCAACTTGCTGTCTCCTCACCTCATCCCCGCTTCACTGAGGGGCAGACAGAGGCACAGAGAATTTGCGACTTGACTGAGGTCTTGGAACCGGGGTGGAGCTGCTGCAGGGTGGAGAAGCACCTCTGAGAGCGTCCGCCTCGCCTCCATAGGCTCTGTCAGCCCCTCTATGGCAACCGAATAGCATGGATGACGGCATCCCTAAGCCAGACCGTGTGGAGCACGCCTGTAATCCCAGCACTCTCGGAGGCTGAGGCAGGAGGATCATAAGTTTGAGCCCAGAGTGGGCAACTTGGTGATTTATGGAGAGCCTGACTTAAAATTTTTTAAAAAACGGTTGGGGATGGAGCTCATTGTGAAAGGCCTTGGGTTCAGTCTTCAGTACCAAAAGAAAAAAAAAATCAATAAATGAAAGATCTAGCATCTTTCATTCTTAAGTACCTGCAGTATGTGGGTTGCCATCCCACACTGCCTTTTATGTTTAGAGCAGTCTGGGATGTGGGTACCATCAACACCTCATTGTACAGATGGGGAAACAGAGGCACAGGGAGCTACAGGCTGCCTGCTGGTAAGCCGTGGAGCCACTGGAATATTCACGAGCACCACCCGTGCATATACAAAGAAAATCAAGTGAGTGGAGGCTGTATTTAAAATTCTTAGTTTATGGAAGAAAAAGCTACCATTGAAATAACTGACACAACTCCTTAGGAAGAGAAAGGGGAATTCTTGGGGCTGCTGCTCTGGCACCGCATTTCCCCTGCGTGGAGGAAGGATGCGCTGGTCCGTGGGTCACCTGATCCTAAGTGTCAGAAGTGGGGCTGAGTCCTTCCGGCCAGTTTGTTCTCTGGGCACTCTTTATATCTTCTGGCACGGGGAATTAAACCCGGGGCCTCCACACCGAGCTGCATTCATTCTCAAGGCCCTTTATTATTTTGAGACTGCTGGTTGGATGCAAACCTGTGATCCTTCTGCCTCAGCCTCCAGAGTGCTGGGATTATAGGTGCCATACACCTGACTTGGACTTTTCCCTTCAGGGAGGAGCAGCCCTGACACAGTGGGTGCAGCCTCGGCCTCTTCACGGGTCTCTCCCTGCTGTGTCCCCCACTGAGGGTTCCAGACCTGGGGGGCTGGTGAGAAGCCCCATCCCATCGTCTGTTGGAGCTGCGAGAGTCAAATGAGACCCACGGTTAACTTGCTCCACACCTCCTGAGCAGAGAGCTCTGGAGAGCGCTGGATTTTCTTTTTATCGATCTGACCTCGCCACTCTCCCGCTTGAGCCGCCCATGGCTCCCCGCCACCTTCCCCTGCCTGCTCCTGCACTCATGCCCTTGTCTGTGTGGAACTCAGGGCACCAGTGAGTGTCCTTGCTTTGTGCTGGGGACAGCGTGGCAGTTCTGCCAGGTCCCCAGAGTCACTCCAAGCTGGGGGTACACGGATGGGGCCGCCCCTGTTCCCTCCGGGCCCTCCCTCCCGCAGCCCTTCCTGGGGCTGGCTGCTTCCCCACCCGCCCCTCCTGGTGCAGGCTCCCTCTCTCAGAAGGGGCTTTCCAGGGCTCCCGTCGGAACCCTTCCCTCTGCAGGCGGGAGACGGCGAGGGGCCGGGAAGCCACCTGCAGCCCTGCACAGCTCCCCGAGTGGTCAAGCACCTTCCTGCCTGAGTCTGGCCAGCTGGACCCCAAGCTAGACGCGGGAAGGGGGTGACCGTCCCTCCCTGGAATCCCACGCAGTCCTCGCCCACCCCCTGCACCCGTGGGGCGGAGGGCGGCGGGAACCCACCTGCTCAAAGGGGCTTTTGCTCTTCAGGTCCTTGGCCCCCAGGAAGACCCAGCTGTCCCGGAAGCCCAGCTGCGGGGCGTAGGAGCTGCCCAGGCTGGAGAAGAGCTTCCTGATGTCGTCATTCATCCTGGGGAGGACACGGGACGGTGGGCACGGCGGCGAAGGGCTCCAGCTGGGGGCAGGGGACAGAGGCCCAAGGGGCCAGGCTCCCTCTGCAGTCCCGTGCCTCACGGTGGGCGACAGGGAGGTGACTGGGCCATCGTCTCACCTCCTCTTTACCGCACTCACTGTGAGCCTTTAGGGCCTCCTCGAGTCGCTTAACGACGGACCTGCTCTAAGAAAGCTGTGGGCAGGCGACTGGGCCGCAGAGCGACCGTCAGGCGGTGCTCATGCGACTAAGGCGGGGTCACTAAGTGGCCCCGCGTTCTGGGGCCACGTAGCTTGCGGCTGGCTCATCACAGGCTGCAAGCCGACTCTGCACTGGTTTTTCTGTCACTCAGCCCCTCCCGCGTCCCTGGATGTCTTCCACACCAGCGTTCGGGTCGTCCTGTCCAGGCCCCTCTGTGCACTACAGGCACAGACGTGGGTCACCGCCCCTCCTGGCTCTGTCACCAGACAGCTGCGATTGTGGCAAAGGCGGGGCGGACCTTGAGAACATCCTGTGCCCGCCCGCGGGGTATCAGCAGAGCAGGGACTGGCAGCCGCGCAGGAAGGCACAGGGGTGAGGGGGCAGCGGTTGCATCCCTCACCGTGTGGATGCGGGCAGAGGCTGCCTTACTTGGTCCCTGGGTCATCGTAGGAGGCCACCAGCACCAGGATGCCCTCGGAAATCTCTGTGAGGAACTTCAGCAGGAGGCTGGGGTCTGGGGAAGGGAGGGAAAACGAAGGCATGCAGGTGCCTGACGGCTCTCCTTCCCTCCCACTGCCCTCCTGGGCTAGGGGCAGCGGGGCACAGGCTGGGACCAAGCTGGCATCAGGGGCAGCGTGCGGTGGGGATGAGGGCAGCACCCTGGGGGGCTCCTACGGCTCCCGGCTTGGGGAGGCCGAGGTGAGCTTCAGGATGTGGTTCCTACCAAGGCGTGGGGGTGACAGACATGGGCAGGTTAGAGTTCCCCGGGCACCGTGAGAAACCAGTGGGAAGGGCATGTGGGGACACCTCTTGTATTCCTGGTACTGGGCAGGCTGAGGCAGGAGGGTCGCCATGAGTTCTAGGCCAGCCTGGGCTACATAATGAGTTCCAGGCCAGTCTGGACTAGGAAGGAGGACTGTGCCTCAAAACAACGATAACAACAACCATGTAAGGGCCCACTCCCCAGGGGACAGACTGTTTGGGCTGTGCCACCCTGCCTGGTTTATGCCCAGGTGATCTGTGTGGCCTCAGAGGCTCACCCTGCAAGGGTCCTCACCCTCCCGCTGTGCCGGGGAGCCAAGCACTGTGAGCACCCCCTGAACTGTGGCCCTCTGTGCGGGACAGAGTACGGGCCTGGGGCAGCACCGTGGGCGGGGGCTGTGGGCTCCCGTGCATGGAGTGATGGGTCTGGTCTCTTCCACTGTGGTAATGGCCTTTGGCTTAGGGCAGGGATACAGTTTTCTAGTAAGAGGCCTTTACTCAGGGAAAAAGTGAGCTGCTGTGGCTGCCGTTTGGAAAGGTGTGGCTTCTCCATTAAGGCAGGGACGCCTCTGTGATGGAGGGTGAGGAACAGCTCCACTCACAGCATTTTGGTAAAGCTTAAATGTGGCTGAGATTCTGAGCGCAAAGTAAATGCACTTTAGTTGGGTTACACGTTCCTAGCAAAGCTGGCGTCATAACTGGTGGGGCCCAGTGCCAAATGAAAATAGGGGCCTTTCACTAAGGAACCACAGAGGTTTCATATTCCATACTCTGCCGTCCTCTGACGGCACAGCATCAGAGCCCCAGCCAAGCTGCTGGTGGGAACCTAGAAGCCTGGGACCCCAGCCCAGGTCAGTGCCCTGGCTGTGCCAAGGTGACCTTCTAACAGGCAGCCAGGTGCATGGAGAAGCCCAAAGAGCCTGTCTGTGCCTCAAGAGAAATGCAGGCCTCTGTGGAAAGTGTGGGAGTGTCCTGACCTCGGCCACACCGGGCACCCCAAGACCTTGAAACGCACACTTTTCCCAGCAGGGCTTGAGTGGCAGAGGTAGGGGCTCTGGGCCTGGAGGTCCACCCAGCCTCCAGTCCCATAACAGCCACGGTCAGGCAGAAGGGAGAGGGGCCAGGCCCACCCTCTTCTGGCCCCTCTGGACTTTGGCCCTGTTCTCTCGCTCCCCACCCCCCAGGGATGCCTGAGGTCACCTCCCAAACTCCTTCTGCACCTGAACCCATCCCAGAATGTGAGCCTGGAGGTCTCAGCACCCACCGGCAAGGCCTTCCAGGCAACAGGCATCCCCAGCCCCCCAGCTGCGCCCAGGGTCCCGGCTGAGGGACGGGGCCACTCCCCCAGTGAGCTTACCTCCCGAGTACATATCGAAAGAGCTCATCCTCACTACCTGCCCCGTAGTTCCTAGGGGACAAGAGAGCAAACTGTCACTGCCTGCAATGTGAGGCACGCTGCTGGTCTTTTTGCAGAAATCTGCTACTCAGCAGTCTAAGGTCCAAACACAGAGTGGGCATGGACGGAACGGAATCAGGTCCCGCAAAGAACGTAGGGACCAGAGAAGTGGCCGACAGCTGCTGGGTGGATTTGAAGGGTACAAGAACGTGACAGCTGAGTGTCTCGGGAACCAAGCGAACCAGCACAGGCTGGGTCTGCGTCTCATCCTACAGGCTGCTGATGGACAGCACAGCATTTCTGACCTGAAGTTTTGCATGTATGCAACAGACTGCAGGATCTACGATGAGATTACTTAAAATGGTAAGCATACAAATGTGTTTTGGCTGCAAAACAGTAATGAAAACAATGATGGTTGTTCCCATGATTCCCACCTACATTGAAAATGTTCAAGTTTTGAAGGGAAGGGTGTCTGTAGTGGGCTAAACGGCACTTAGTTAACCAGAGTAGAGTCATCTGAATTGCTTTTGTGGCGAGAGAAGGCAAATATTCAAGTCCCGTGCGGGAGAGACCTGTAGTTTTGCAGGAAAGTCGCAGTTCCTGCTCTTTGCCACCAGATGGGAGTGTTGCAGAGCGGATGGCCGCCGCAACTCTGCAGGACGGTGTCTGGATTTGGGGGTGACGGGAGGACCCCGTGGGCTGGCCCGGCCACACCTCCTCTGCTCTTAGGCAGGGAACGTGTTGGTTCTCAGGCTTTGGGGCCGCTCCCTGGGGCGGAGGTCAGGGCGACAGGGAAACAGGGCAAGGTGCCTGCCAGGAGGGTGTGGACCCGTGGCTGCTGAGGGTGTGAGGGCTGAGCCCCACCTGGCCAGATTCAAGGCCCTGCCCCTCGCTCCAGAGGAAGCCACGTCCCTCTGCGGGGCTGAGAGGGAGGTCAAGGCCCGGAGCAGAAGCCAAGCGAGGTGAGCTGGGCAGGGCGGGCCCTAGTGCCCCGTGCTAAGCGCCCACGGCTCCTCCGCCACGCTCGCTGGCCTCCTCAGTCTCGCCTCTCTCCGCCCGCTTCAGCCACCAAGACCCGGTGTTCCGCGGTGCCCTCCCCCTGCAGCGCTGCCCCTGCCGAACGGACCGCCCACCTTCTCCCGTCACCCCTGTCCTGGGGGCCCAGTGGGCACGGTCGCCTCCGGAGGTCTCCCCTGCCTGCCCCAGCAGGGCGGCCCCGGGGCTGGGGCTGGACCTGTCTTCCCCTCCACAGTTGTGCCTGGGCCCAGCAGGGCCGGGAGTAAAGGAAGCGTTCATGCTGGGTGTGCGGCTAGAAGGGGTCGCCCAGGAGGGGACACAGGGCAGCGGGGACCGGGCCTGGGGGACTTTCTGCCCCGCCAGGCGGGCTGCGCCAGCACTCACCATTCACCAGGGCGATGTTCAGGCCTCTGCCCACGTTGTTCTTCACCGGACTCATGAGGCTGAAGACAGAGAAGGCGGCGAGTGAAGGCGTGGTCCCGAGCGGGGTGAACTGGGCTTTGGCCATGCGGCCTCCACCGGCGTGGGCAGCACAGGGTGAGCTCTGGGGACCAGGCCGGGCCATCCGGAGCTCCCGGATGCTGGGTCTCAGTACCCTGGGGCCAGGACGGCCTGCTGGGAGCAGGGGCAGGGTCCCCGGCTGGGGCTCTGGATCCAGAAGGTGCTGCTGTCCTGGGGTGGCTGGGGCCCTCACAGGTACAGCTGTGTGCTGGCTGGCAGGCCCTCAGGAGGGCAGGGCCTCTTCTCTCTCCTGGGACTGACTGCAGTCTTCCGGGCTGGAGCAAGGGGGCCTCCTGTGCTACTGGGCCATGGGACCCAGGGCACAGAAGCAGGCCCACCCTGGGGACTTTGCAGGGGGTAACTCAGAGGCACACCCCTCCCAGGGGCACTGGGCTGAGCTAATCTGTCAACCAGCTAGTAGCCTCTTTCCTTTCACATAGAGATATCTGCTTTTAGTAGAGAAAAATGAAGGAAAAATGAGGAAGGCAGAGGTGAGGACATTGTAGTAGGTAGCCTGGATAATACACATTGAACCCCTGAATCCAGCTGGTCCTGAAGCCCACACCTTTTAGGTATGTGAACTAATAAGTTCCTTGCTTCACTTAAGCAGGCTGTACTAGATTCGGGATCGTGACTTGAATACTGGTCCATCGTTCTTTGCAGGAGGAGCTTGTCCTGGGGCCTTTACTATCTGGGTTGGATAGGGTACACAGTTGCTCCCGTACCTGGGTAGAAGCCCTGGTTCTGCTACATCTCCCTTTGATGCCAAGATCCTGAATCCTCCCCTTAGGGCCTGCCTTCTACAGGGAAGCCTGGCTGTTGGGCAGACCTGAGTTCAAATCCTGCCTTTGCCTTTGGCTGGGCAGCTGGCCCTGTCTGAGCCTCACTTTCCTCTTCTGCCCAACAGGGACCGTGATAACCATGTCCTGGGCCCCACTTAGCAAGGCGGGCAGCCCTTGAGGCTGTTTGGATTTGTTGTTATTTGGGATTTAAGTTCCTAGAGATAGGGGAAGCCTAGGAAAGGTGCAGTTGTTCCCAAAGCCTGGATTTTTTCAGGAAGGAAGGAAGGGTAAGAAAGGAAGCACAAATGGTCACGGGTACTTACATCTGGTTTTCAAAGCACATGGAGGGGCCCACGACATTGGCGGCCCCACTGCAGATTTTAAAGGCAAAGAAGTTGTCTGGGCAGGGCTTGCTGAGGCCACACTTGGTCTTTGGGACGCCTGGGGAGTAACAGAGCGGCCTTGGAGGGCCTGGAGAGTAGAGGGGCTCAGTCGGCCCCCCTCAAGCACAGGCCCTGGCTGATCCCGGCCACTGCACTCACTCGAGGCTTCCCAGGCCGCCCCTCCACCCTCCTGGGTGAGCTGCAGCGGGGACCTGCATCCCTGAGGGAGCAGCCCCTGAGTGCCTCTCCCTGGGGCCACAGTAGCTCCTGAGCGCCCCTGGGCCTCTGCAGACAAACTCTGGGACCTGGCCTGGTGGGGCTCTTTGACTGCGAAGTGGGTGACTGCAGTGCCCCCAAGCTGGGCTCCTTGCAGAATACACAAGGGGCCCTGCACGGCTCCTGTCCTCACTCTGCACGAGCACCTACGAAGGGCCAGGCCCTGGGCGGGTGGGTGGGTTTGCTCCAGGTACTGGTAATGTACCAGGCACTGCTGCTGACCGTGGCTGTGGCTGAGACCTGAACCCAGGAGGCCTGTGGCTGGTAAGGTGTGGAAGCCAAGCTCAGACCAGAGCTCATCACTTAGAGTGAGCCACTGGGGAGTGCAGAGCCACCGCTAGGGAGGGACCCGCCCCATCCTTCCCTGGCCTGGTCCTGCCTAGGTGCTGGCCTAGGATGGCTGGGGAGGCTCCTCTTCCCCTCTCAACTCCAGTCCCCACCTGTCCACCTGCCCCTCTCCAAGAGGGACATCCTCATGGGCACGGGGAGGGGCGGGCTTGGGCCCCAGGGACTGGGCTGCAGTTTGCCCAGGCCTAATCTACTGCATCAGCTCTAGAAACCCAGCAACAGCCCAGCTTAAGCAGGCTTTTCCAGAATCGATTTTCTGACGTCCCGGCTTCCCAGTGAGGCTGAGGGAGGAGGAGGAGGAGACACTGCCAGGGTCTCAGCAGCTGGAAGCCAGGATTTACTTTCCCAGCGGTTCTGGCTGAGAGGCTGTCTGACCAGTTGTTCCAAACTCTGGTCCCTACCGCTCTGGCAACCCTAGTCCAGGTTCTGGGGCTGGAGCCGGCACTCTATCAGGGCACAGAGTAGGGTGGTCAGGGGCCTTAGGCAGTTCTACACCAATACGTTGCTGGCGCACATCTTTCCTGCTCTTCTCTGCCAAGTGTGACAGCAGGAAGTTGGTTTAGATCAGGCAGTCCAGTAGGTTTCCTCTTAAATGTCAACTTGGACCTGCAGTTAGGGGCTTTACGGATAAAACTGTAAAGGCTACCTGTGGGCCTTGAAGGAAAGGGTGTTGGGATTGATTAGTGATGCCTGACACAGGAGCAGGCAGGGTAGGAGTGGCACACATGCTTGATTTTGCCATCGTCCAGCAGATGGTGTGCGTTCGCAACCAAGATGTTGTGTCTCTATGTGTCTGCTTCAGAATCCAACTGCGGAAGCTCCAGGGAGATGGGGTGGATGGTGTGGGGCAAGTACTTTTTATTCACTCTTGTTGTCTTTGCTGTGTGTAATCTCATGCCCTCCTTAGTTGGGGAGCAATTATCCCCGGGGCCGCAGCCCGCTTCAGTGGGGGTGGGGAGAAAGGGCCTGGCAGCATGGCCTCATACAAAGGGCCGCTGCAGAGCTTGCCTGTGGACTAGATGGGGTGGGATGCTGGGCCAGGGGCTCAACTTGGTGGGCCTCAGGGTCCTCACTACAGAAAGGGACAACTTTAGCACCTGTGGGGTATGTGGGCCAACTCTAGACGTCTGCCAAGGGGCCCAGAGATGCATCCCCTCTCATAGCCCAGCCGGCATTTCCACCACAGCAGTCAACACCCCTGTTTTTGTCAGTGGCACCTGACACTTCCTAGCAGCTGGGCTGAGCCTAGTGTCCTTGTAACAGTGACGCCCATGGCTCCCACACAGGAGGGGTCGGCAGGGGTGCCCTGTGGTCCGAGCTGGGGAAGGGAGACCCAGAGTTGTGGCCCTGTCATTGTGAATGGCTGGGCGACCACTCCTGCCACAGGGCTGGGGCTTCAGAGGGCACCACTGGCCATGGGGTGGGCTGTGCAGATCCCGGGCATCTAGATTTCCTGAGACCCACAGAGGTGGGCATGGAGACCCTGGGACATCCAGCCCTAGGACATGGGGGACTGGGTAATACTCACGGATCTCCTTGGGGGCCACACCTGGGAAGAGAAAGCAGAATCTGGTTACAGAAAAGTGCTTTGACCCCCGAAGGAGGCAGGTGGGGGTCAGGGCTGGGCAGCAGGAAGAAGGAACTTTACATGGCTCTGTAGGCCTGAACTAGCAATGCCACCTCAGCGGGAGTCCTCACTAGTGCTGTCGCCCCTTCACACACTGCACACACGTGCATACAGAGACACACACAACACACACAGATGAGACACACACATGCAGGTGCATGCAGAACATGAGAGACTCTCTGTTGGGAGTCATTCTACATAATTTTTTGGGAAAATCATTTCACAATTAAATTATGACTAGGGCTGAGGCTTCAATGGTCCTGTGATGCTGCTACGATTAAGGGCAAGAGTACATCAGCTGAAGACATCCTGATTCTTTGGGAATCAGTAGAAAGGTTTCACCTGTGGAGAGATGAATTCCTTATCAGCTTAGCACTCCACCCATTGTTGTAAGAATGTTTTGCTCATCTCACCATCCTGCTCAATTGAAGCTTCTCACTGACCTAAGATCCTCATCAGCATAGGATCATCATGATCATAGGATTGCAGCCAACCTTAGAGTCATCTGATTCTCCCTACAGACTGAATAAATAGTGATGAGCTCAGGGTGTCTTTGTCTTTGCTGCCCAGAGCAGCACCAATCAGCCTAAAGCTCAGCTTCTTCTCTAGTCTCATTTACTGTCTTTATTCTTTAATTTGCTGTGTGTTGTAGTGGCTCACAGGAGACCAGGACTTGCTGCAGAGGTTATGGTAACATCCCCTATCTGTTCCCTACATCTCTCCATGCACTTACAGACACGTGTGCACACATGCATACAGACACACACACTACTCATGTTAAAAAAGCTGCGGATCTGGTGGGTCTGTGACCTCCCCCGACTGCATGCTACCAGCCCCATCGAGGAAGGTACAACCTGTCCCCGCCCCCCGATTGGGCCAGTCCTCGGACCCACTGCAGAAGCATAGGTAGTCATAAAGGGTATTTTTCTGAGCTCCCAACTTTGAACATCTTTAAAGAAAGGGTGGGGGAAACCTGTAATAGAACTGAGTGGAGTTCAACCCTGCAGTTTGGGAAACTCAATTTAGGCCTTGTGGCTTGATGTCAGTCTGAGTCATGGGGATCTGCCATTGGCTAGCTGAGATCAGGGGATTTGGTTCTGCATATGTCTGTGCACGTAGTATATTATGACAGCAGAGACATAGTCTGAAAGAGGCCCTTCAAATTCTTTTTTTTTTCTTTTCTTCATTCCACCCTGCAATTTCTTTTTTCTGTCCTCTCTCTCCAATTCAGTCTTTTCTCCACCATATTATCCCTCATCTCCCTTTCTATTCCTGCTCCTCCCCTAACTCAGACTTCTCCTTTTATCAATTTTTCTTTATGTTCTTTTCTCCTGTCATTTTACCTCACTCATGGCTCAATAGTTTCAAGGGAAAGTGAGCCCCTGTTAGCGCTAAGGGGATATATTCCTGTCCTTATTCTTGCACTCTGTCTATCCTATTTGAAGTTAATAGTTTCATAAAGATTGTATGGTCATTCTATGTCCTCTGGCTTCACTTGAAACCTTCTCCAATTCTTTCACTTATCTACTCCTCTCATCCTAACTCAGTCTAAGCCCCCATCCTAAATGGTAAAGATGCTATATTGAAAAGCATATTCACTGCAAACATATTTTGGGCTGCTTCTTGATTTTAATTTAATTCACATGGTTTAAAGGTGACAGATTAATGATTACCACAAGAGGTCAATTTGCAAGTTGTGCTTGATCCTATTGGGCTGCTGAATGTATCAACTGGGATAAAGAATTGTGATTGTTTTAATGAGTTGTTTTCTCCAATAGTATGCAAATGAGTATGTCTATGAGTCATTAGAGACTCAAAAGCTAAAGCCCAACTATATCAGGAAGATTTAAGTAATAACCCAGAAATTAAAACAAGGACAACCCAACAACAAAAATAAAAATGAGAAAACACTAAATCAAGACACAAGGACAGACTTCCAGTTCACCAATAGCAAACAGTAGGGCAAATGAGGATGAAAAGTCTGATAGTGAATCAGCAGGACACCCCAAACCCATAGCACAGGAAGTAACAAAACAGATCAATCAGGCTCTAGAAAAATTCAGAACAGAAACAATTTCCCAGATAACCATAGAGATGGTGAGCAAAATGGAAGTCATGATTCGAGACTCTAGAACAGAAACTGAGAAAAAAATAGATGAGCTCAGGACCATGATAGAATCCACAAAGGCTCAGCATAAAAAAGAAATGGAAACAATGAATGCCCAACAGAGGAAAGAAATGGAATCCATAAAACAGATTCAAACAGATACCCAGGAGATTAAAAACTCTATTGAAAATATATGCAACAGAATAAAAGATTGCGAAGATAGAATTTCAGATATAGAAGATAGGATTGCAGTCAGTGTACGTGAAAAGGGAGGTCTCTTAAAAACATTAAGGGACCATGAGAAATCAATCCAACAACTTCTACATGATACAAAGAAGAATAACATAAGACTGATAGGAATCCATGAAATAGCAGGAGAAAATACAAATGACTTAAAAAAGCTCTTCAGAGAATTAATGACAAAACTTCCCAAACAGAAGGGAAGAATTAGACATACAAATAAGTGAGGTATATAGAACTCCAACTAGCCACGATAAAAAAAATCTACACCTAGACATATAATAAAGATCCCAGAAATCCAACAGAAGAACAAAATACTACAAGTAGTAAGAGAAAAGAAACAAATCACATGCAAAGGAAAGCCCATCAGAATCACAGCAGACTTTTCAACACAAACCCTTAGGTCAAGGAGAGCCTGGAGTAAGGTATTTCAAGTCCTAAAAGAAAACAACCTACAACCTAGACTGATGTATCCCGCAAAACTCTCTTTCAAAATGGATGGGGAAATAAGACACTTCCACGACAAAGAACACCTGAGAAACTTCATGAACACCAAAGCAGCACTACAAGGAATTCTAAACAATATCCTAGAAAAGGACAATGAAGGTCACAACACCATGAGGCCCAACAGAGCAAATCAAATAGGCAAGACAAGAAAC